ATGTGGCTTTCTTGCATGTCTTTTTGAAGTTTCCCTTCCTCTTCCTGTTTAGCAATCAGTAGATGTTTCGGATGTTGCCTGACTGGAGTTTGATCGGTGGTAGTCTCTACAAGTTGTTTGCTGGGTTGCCTTGAATTTCGTGCCCTACACTACAGCGCCTTTTTAAATCCTTGACATCCACCATTCACATTCTGTATTTCAGGTTTCCGGATGATATCGATGAAGTATTGTAGGGACAGGATTTCCCTTGTTTCTGTCGGACACTCCGAAAAGGCGAAATGAGACAGTCTTTTAACATCCGTGTCAAGTTCCTGGAGTGTCTCAGAGGGCTTCTGTTGACGGGATTTCAATTGAAACCTGCTATAATCTCTTAAACTCTTCTTACCAAAGCGCAGCTCCAACGTGCCGGATAGAACTCTGAAGTCTACCCTCTGGTTTTCGGAAAGAATTTGAAGGATATCCGCTGCGTATGCTCAGAGAAGCGATGAGATGACAGTCCTTAGCTTAGGAATCCCATCCATTCGAGTCTGCCAATATAGAAAATTGTGTCATACACTTGCCAGGAGGTCTTGTCATGTGGATAGCTTCAGAGGGGAACGAGAAAACATGGGTAAAAGTTTAAAACTATCAGAATTGCTTCTTTCTTTCGCTGTGCATTTCCTTACGATGTCAAGTTCTTTGGCGACAGCAGCAGAAACCCTGTCTTCAATTTGTTGTTCGATTTTTTCTTGGACGGCAGAAACTGTTTTATTTGTTGTTTCACCGCAGAAACTCTTTCTTGAATTTCCCCAACTTTGTCTTCTCCCGTGTCTGTTCTGCCTTCTGTTACCTAGAATTTGTTTTTTTATTATGCAGGTAATTTCTCTTTTCATTTCCTCTTGACCTTCTTCGATCTATTTCTTGAACAGCTTTCATATCCTCTTTAATATGTTCTTGATCAGCTGACATATTTTTTCGGAATACAGCAAAAGCACTCACGAGCTGTCTTAGTTGTTCAGCAATCGCTTTTGTCTCCGGGATTGGATTCAATTCCACTTGTAACGCCAAAATGTGTTGCGTGCGTACGGGTTTGTAATATATTGAATACACACAGGTATTATTTCTCAATTGACAAATTACAATTTTAAGCGATATTCAAACTATAAATTTAAAGTATCTGTCTTACAGTACAGAACTTCATTTAAATAATTGCATTAAGTAAAAATGTCGTGCAATTTGTTTCATTAGCTGATTAATGTGAATTTTAAATATTTCTGAATTTCCTAATTACCTTTTGCTGCACTGTTAACAGTTAACATTAAATTCAAATACGGTTTCACACAGTTCATTACGCAAAAGCATAACTAATTTGCGCGAATTAATAATTCATCGAGTTTCAAAACTATTACTGTTACCAAAGCTGAATTACGGAAAATCTGTATTACGTAAAATAAACAACTGGTTGATGAACACTTCACAAATATATGGAATGACAAAATTGATGGACTTAACTCTGAGGACGATGCGTTTTGGAATTTTAGTCGTAATCTAAAATCAAATCGTACCAAAAATATGCCCATCAAAGATAGCACCGGGTTCAAATATTCAAGAGGAGAAGGCCAACGCATTCGCAAATCACTTTGAGGTACAGAAACCTAATGACTCTCCCGCTGACACAAATATATATCACACAAAATTAAATACATCAACCCAGGCTCCTAATATTGTTACCCTCACCACCCCAGCAGAAGTTAAAGCTATTAGTTCTAAATTACATAATAGAAAAGCCCCGAGAAGAGATAATATCTCCAATAAAATAAATACCTGCCTAATAAATACATTAATAAACTTCGTGGAATTTACAATGTTTGTTTTTGAGCTATTTTCCGAGAAAGTGGAAGCAAGCGACAGTCATTCTCCTTCCCAAACCCGGAAAAGATGCATCCTGTGTAGAAAACTACCTCCCCATCAGTCTGCTACCATCCTTCGGAAAAATACTTGAAAGAATTATTAACAAACGCTTTGATCCGGCTCTGAATTCCCTCCCTGAACAGCAGCACGGGTCTTTCTACAACTATGAAACTAGTCAGGATAGTGGAATGCATTAGCGACGTTACAAAAACATTGGACCACTGCTTTTCTCCTGCTAGACGTGGCCAAGGCCTTTGACCGCGTCTGGCATGACTGACTTATATATAAGCTCATCTCCGTCGGTCTTTGCAGGGAAATTATCTGACTTCTTTACTGTTTCCTTAACCACCGCTCTTTCTGCATTAGGCAAGGTGCTCTGAAAACAAAATTATACACGCAGGCATCTTGCAAGGTTTGATCCTTGGCCCAGTGCTCTACCTCATCTATGTCATGGATTTCTCAATGTTTGATGATAACCATAATTGTATTACAGCATGCTACGCCGACGACATGGCAATTCTTTCTAGTTCACTAAACTCCAGTTTCGTCATTATCCGGATTCAAAATAGAACGCATGAAATAGAGATCTGGTACCGTTACTGGAGAACGAGCATCAACGCCTTCAAGTCAAAATTGCTACTCATTGGCCGTCACAGACGTTAAATCGTTAATAACAACTTATCGCTTTTCAGCGAAACGATCCCCAAAGCGAACTACCTGGGAGTTCGTTTCAACACCTCTGTCACTTGGAGTGTACATATTTCGACTAGTTTTGGCAAAGCCATAGATGTTTCAAGAAAACTAAAGTGACTTCTCGACCCGTCTTCCTCAGCACACCTTGCGCGGAAAATGAGGACCTACACATCTATCTTGCGACTCATTCTCACATATGCTTTGCCTACTTGGAGTGCTACTCCTAAATCAGGCTTCAATAAGCTACACGTTTTCCAGAACACCTTCTTACGCCGTATCTCTTAGCAGCCCCCCTGGTTTATCAGAAATAAACAATTACAGAGACTTAAATCTAGACGATCTCATCACCTTCATCAACAAACTCAACAGATGGACTTAACACCAAAGCTATACATAATGTCGCAAACCCCACAGTATAGAATGGAGTGCTTCCAATTTAAACTCCGGGCATCTGCGCATGCCCAGAAACTTTTATGACTCTAATTTCTTTTTGATTTATTGCTATGTTGTTTTTCTGTTAAGTGTCTCCTGTATTGAGTCTGAGTGTGTGTTAAAATGATTAATAAATGGTGTGTGTAAACTTTTAGTAGCTTTTTGGATTTAAGAAGACAGCCTTCCCAGCGTCAACATTTATTTACGTGCAAAGAGACAAGGTAAGAAGATTTAAGATTATTCCATTTGTTTCAACTGATTAATTAGAATTTAGATTGCTCGTGAAATCTTGGCGCCCGAACAGGGACGATGATTTTTAGTAAAAGGCTGTTTTTTTTTAATAAAGAGAAATAGTTAATAATGGATCCATTATTAAAAGTGAGAACACCACTCAGAACAAATTTTATCAAAGTCGTTAATAGGCTAGATGAAGCTCTAAAAGCTAAACCGATAGATTTAGAAGAAACTGATGTAGCGTTCTCGCTATTAAGCGATAAGTTTACAAAACTAGAAGCTATTGATCGAGATATTTTAGATCTTTTATTAAAAGATCCGAACACGGATCAAAATATGTTTGATCAAGAATATGAAAGGATAAATTCTTATTCTGACAGATACATATCATTCAAAACGAAAGTGGAACAATTTCGAAGTGAACTGTGTGATAGAGTATCTTGTAATGATTTTTCTGTTGAAGTGGTAAATAAAAGAAGTGTTAAATAACCTAAAATCGAGCTACAAACATATGATGGTTCACTTAAAGGGTGGCTTGGATTTTGGAGTTTGCTTAAGAAAGTTCATGATGACCCATGTTTATCGAATGAAGACAAGTTTATATATCTCATTCAAAGTACCACAGAGAAGTCGTGAGCTCGTGACCTTGTGGAAAGTTTTGCACCTACGTCAGATAATTATCCGTTGGTGATTGAATGTATGAAGTCGCTTTTTGGTAAAGACGAATTACTAATTGATGTATATGTGCGTGAATTGTTGACTTTAGTATTGAGCCATAATAAATGTAATTTAGCGAAACTTTATGATAAGATCAAAGTATATTTAAGAGCCTTAGGTACTTTAGTTGTTACGTCCGATAAATATGCAGCTATGCTCTATCCTCTTGTCGAGAGTTGTTTATCAGAGGATGTTTTGAAAATGTGGTAGCGGCATATCAGTTCTGTTTTAGTTAATGAAAAGGGAAGTAAATAAGTTAGCTGTTCTAATGGAATTTTTAAAATCAGAAGTGGATGGGGAACAAAGACTTGCGATTGCTAGAAATTCATTTGATACTGAAAGGGAACCTCTCAAAAGATCATCTAAGCGGAATCTTAACGAAAATAAATGTGACATTCCGATCGCTGCTAGTCTTTTAAATACGAATGGTTATAACGAAAAGAAGTGTATTTTTTGTGAGAAAAAACACGGTTCTCAAGATTGCAATAAAGCGAAAAAAATGAGTCTGGATGAAAAAAGGGATATAGCTAAGAAGGCTGGTTGTTGCTTTTCCTGCATTAAGAGGGGACATGTTTCGAAGCAGTGCCATAGCAGAATAAAATGTTTTATATTCAGTAAATTTCATTGTACTGTTATGTGTCCAAATCCGTTATTTGAATCAAAAGCAGATGTTCAAAAATCGGTTGAAAACCCCGAACTGTACTCAGCTCAAGGATCAGGCCCTTACAAGTCAATCTAACTCAACAGGGGTACTGTTACAAACATTGCAAGTTTATCTTAGGGGTAAAAATGGTAGACACATCGTAAGAGCCCTTTATGATACGGGAAGTCAGCATTCTTAAATTAGTGCCAAAGCAGTTAAGCTATTGAAATATGAGTGTTTAGGAGAGATACCAATAGTTCACAGTTTATTTGGTGGTCTTGAATTTCCTCAACAGAAGCATCGCCGTTTCAGAGTGTATTTGAGTAGTTTAGATGAAAATTACAATTGTAATTTTGAAGTACTAGAACAAGAAAAGATTTGCGGTAACGTAATGAAAACTCCGCAAGGCACATGGATGACAGATCTTCGCAAGATGAAGATAACGTTGACTGATAATACCAGTAACGCCTTACAAGAAACTGATCCTAGGATTCATCTACTTATCGGAGCGGATGTGGCTGGTAAACTTTTAAATGGGAAAGTACAAGTTTTGGCTGATGGACCCGTTGCAGTTGGTACTCATTTAGGCTGGACGCTCATGGGAAAGATTCCACAGGTACCCAAAGTATCTGAATCTTATTTGTCTATCATATATCTACTCACCCACAACTTTAACCTTCTAGACATGTGGAGTTTAGAGCGTATAGATACCGCAGATCCAGTCGAAAGTCAATCTGCTGTGGAATTGCAACAAGCTGCACTTGTACATTTTCACCGTTTAAAAGTTAATAATGAGGGAAGGTACGAAGTAACGTTACCTTGGCTCAAATTGCATCCCACTCTTCCTGAGGGAAAAGACTTAGCCGAAAGAAGATTGCGCACTATATTTAAGAGACTGAAAACAGCTAACATCTTAGAAGTCTATCAAGAAGTCTTACAAACGTGGTTAAAGGATGGAATAATCGAAGAACTGAAAGAAGATGAGGTAATAACTCCTGGCCATTTTTTGCCTCATCGAGCGGTAGTTAAGAATTCAGCAACAACGAAAATTAGGCCTGTGTTTGATGCCTCTGCACATACTAAAACCTCGGTATCTCTGAATGAATGTTTAGCGAAAGGTCCGAATCTTATAGAACTCATTCCAGCGATATTAACTCGTTTCCGCATGAAAGAATTTGCTGTTACAGCAGATATAAAACAAGCCTTCTTGAAAATTAGTATCTCTAAAAGTGATAGGAACTATCTTAAATTTCTCTGGATGGAAGACGGGGATCCAAATAATTTGAAAATATACAGACACTGTCGTGTTGTTTTTGGACTTACGTCCAGTCCCTTTTTGTTGAGTGTGACGTTAAAATACCATTTGGAAAACGCTCCTCTTCAGTTTAAAGACACAGCTTTAATCTTACTAGACTCATTTTATGTCGATAATTGTCTTGCTAGTTTTGACAGTGTTAACTAACTGAGTCAGAACTATTCGTTGAACAGTCAAGAGAATTGTTACTCTCGGGTAAATTTGAGTTAAGAGGCTGGCGAAACAATACTCCATGCTAGAGATTGTCCAGTTTCCAAATGAGAATGCTAATGGACTCGAGGATCCAAACGAAGAAAATTTAGTACCGGTTTTAGGATTAAAGTGGGATCTGACATCTGATACATTATTTTGCAATTCCACTTACCATCAAACTGCAGATCCTCCCGTTACAAAAAGGAAGATTTTAGCCGTAGCGCAACAAATATATGATCCTTTGGGAATTGTTTGCTCATTTACACTGATGCCAAAATTGCTACTACAAGAATGTTGGAAACAGAAAATCGCATGGGACGCAGAATTACCTGAAGTTATTAAGAAGAAATTTTTAAACTGGCAAAATCAAATAACACAGCTGAAAAATATCTTTATTCTTAGATGGATGACGAAAAAACTTCTCCGGAGAAACAGTGTAGTTTACACGTGTTTGATGCTGATGCCAGCAAGAATGCTTATGCAGCTTGTATTTTTATCCGAATTGAAACCGAAGAGTCCGTATCTTGAGAATTCGTTAGAGCTAAAAATAGGATAACTCCACTAAAGACAATCACAATTCCCAGACTGGAACTCCTAGCATGTTTGATTGCTGCTCGTTTAGCTGCTAACGTGAAGACAGATTATAAAAAGACCAGATCTTGAAACACATTACTGGACGGATTCTAGCAATGCCTTAAGTTGGATCAAACGAGATGAGCATTGGACAACATTTGTCGCCAATAGGACACAGGAAACAAGAGCTCTGTCTCACCCTTATGATTGGCATCATGTTCCGAGAAGTCTTAATCCAGCAGATGTTCCGTCTAGAGGAAGTTCTGTTAGATACCTTATTGAATTAAGATGGTTACAAGGGCCAGAATGGTTAAAATCTCCACCAGAGGAATGGCCAAAATCTCAAATCGTAGCTGATGAGGAAAGTTTAAATGAAGAGAGAAGGAAGACGGCTATGATCAAAACTAAAATGGAGATATCCTGGTACCACAATAGGTTTTCTTCCTACTCGAAGATAGTTAGAACGTTTGCCTGGATGAAACGTTTCATATCAAATGCCAAGAAGCTTAAGTTAGAACGATTCTATCAAGAATTGACTGTCAAGGAAATAGAACAAGCTGAACTGATATTACTAAAAGGCATACAGCAAGAAGCTTTCGGCTCAATAACTAATCCCGTTTTGAAATATCTGTATCCTCAACTTGATGAAGATGGTTTAATCCGTGTTACTACACGTCTCATACAACGAGATGACACTAATAGTTTCAAACGGCCAATAATATTGCTCAGCAAACATCCAGTTGTTCATTTGCTTATCTTGGAACATCATAGAAGATTGAACCATGCTCAGGTACAAACGTTAATAACTCAACTGAGATAAAACTTCTGGATATTGAGATGTAGAAAAACTGTTCGTGAAGTTTTGAGATATTGCAAGAATTGTAGAAGATTTGAAGTTTCCAATGCTGATGTTATGCCTGCCCCTTTGCCAGAAAATCGTGTAAAGAATGTAGCTGCGTTTGAAATAACAGGAACAGATTTAGGAGGGCCACTATACTTAAGAAATGGTGATAAAGCTTGGTTCGTTCTCTTCACATGCGCTGTGATTCAAGCAGTGCACATAGAATTAGTACAATCACTGAGCACCGAAACCTTTTGTTTAGCATTTCGAAGATTCGTATTGAGAAGAGGAAGACCCTTGTATGTTTATTCTGATAACGGTACAAATACTGTAGGAACTAATAATATTTTCCACCAAATAGAATGGCAAAAGGTACAGGAATTGGCTTTAGTTAAGCGAATTCAGTGGGTTTTCCTCCCTCCTACCGCCGGTAGGAGTAGGAGCGACTAATTGGAATGACTAAAAGAATCTTAAGAAGAAATCTGGGACGAGTTCGACTACATTATGATGAACTGGCTACCATTTTATGTGAAGCAGAATACATAATCAATAGCCGTCTCTTGACTTATCTGTCAGAAGATGTAAGAAAATTTATGATTATTCCATTTGTTTCAACTGTTTAATTAGAATTTAGATTGCTCGTGAAACATAATGAGGATGTCCATTACGCAGACAACTTTAAATATTAACTAATGGAAATGGACATTAATCTAAGACCACATACCACCCATGTCATCAGAAATCCCACCCTGAACAGTTAACCCTCTCCAGCTTACATTCATCTTATTTTTTAGATTTTCTTCACATGTTCTTATTATATTACAGTTTAATTATCCTGCTTCGCATTCTTCTAAATCAGAAGTGTTGATGTACATATGGCAGCGCCCAGGTCCGAAATGCTTATTAGCATATTCGGACGTTCTGATTCGCTGTGCTACACCTCGCGATCTGCACTTGCTTCTACTGCAATTTCTACAGACAAAAGTATCTAAGTATCAAAGAGGAGACGATAACATCGGGGAGCCATTTTGTCTTGTGCGTTCGTTCATTTGATCATTTCTCAAAGAGTTTATTTAAAGTTATAAGTTAGGTTATTGATAAGCACAGAAAATTCATGTTTACAGTCAATTCTTTATAATAGGTAAATTTTTGAATTATAGTTGGCAGTTTTTTGTATTTGACCTCCAATAGAAATCTCTAATTTGTTACAGTCGAATTATGTTTTCTACTTGCTGTGGAAATCTATAAAAAAAAACAAGAAATATGCAGCAGAGGAAAGCTGTTGAATTATTTTTTGCCCTCTCAAGTGATCCCGAAGATTCAGACAAAGATGCAGATGATAAAACACATGAAAATATTTCAATCGAGGAAAACAGGAATGTTGATTTATCTGATCCACAGCCAAGCACTAATAGAGGTACAAATAAAGCAATCAAAGAAGCGGATATGAACCAAAGAATTGATTCAATATCCAGAATTAGAGAGGTTCAAAATGATTCTAGTGATACTGAAGAATATAATGCATATGAGAAAATAGACGAGGGCTGGTTTAATGATACCAGGCATTTTGATTTTCATGTTATTTGCATGGATAGAGAAAGAATTATCAATTCCAGTCTAACACGAACCAGTACAGAAAAAGACTTTACTTTCCAAATATTCAATGAAGTAATTTTAGAACATGTGCAAACAAATTTATATGCGCTCCAAATCAAAACAAAAAGGCACGCAGGTCACACTGTAAGTGAAACAGCAAAAAACTTGGAGGATTTACATCCAGAGGAACAAGTATGAATTGGAATGCATGAACATTATGATGGGAATTATTGGGTGCTTTTGTGATAATTTTTTTATAGTTATACCAATTATAATTGGTGGATTTGGGAATTGATTAGTTATATTAATGTTTAGCCTAGTTTCAATAACTACTGGAGTTCTGATCCTGCATTAGGACAACAAAGTATTTCACAAATTATGATGTGCAAGCATTTCAAAAAAATAACAGAAGCAATCCACGTAAACTACAAAGAGACCGTTTTTCCAAGAGATACCCAGATAATGACAAACTTCATAACGTTGAAGTTTGCCAAACAGTCATAAGGACCTCTTACTGAAAACCTCAATAAGCAAGTCGCTGAAGCTTTCAAACTATCTATTGTATTTGCTGTTGATGGAAGCATGATACTTTCAAAGGCTGGTCTACCCTGAAACAATACATGCCTTTAAAACATGTGAAGAGGGGATGCAAAGTTTGGTGCTTGGCTAATTCAAAAAACTGAAAGAAGAAGAAGAAGAAAAAGGTTTGACATTTATACTTTTAAAGCTAAAGATCAAATTGCAACCGATACATTGGGAGAACGAGTGGTACTCAATCTAACAAGTTGTTTGAAAGGCACATGGAGTGTTTGACATTTTTTTTATGATGGTAAAACTAGTAAAAATGCTACATCAACACAACATTTATGCTCTCGGCACTGTAACAACAAATTGAAAAGGTCTTCGCGCAATAGCGAGAAAAATGTAAAGCTAAGAGAGTGGAGTTTCAATTCAATGGCAAGGAGGACATTGCAGCCATTAAATGAATGGATAATAAACCTGTAACCATTCTTACAGCAGTAAATAGCCCAAGTACAACTACAACAGTCCCAAGGAAGAACAACGATGGAACTACTACTCGTGTCCAACTGCTATTGCCACATATAATGAGATTGTGGGAGGTGTTGATCACTTTGATCAACTTCGAGAAAGATATGAAATTGGTCGATGTTCCCGAAAATGGTGGCATTGAATCCTCTACTTCCAAATTGATCTGGCAATGTTCAATGGCTTCATTCTCTGGAAAGTAAGTAGAAGATATTCGGGACTTCAAGAACACTTACATTTTCGACTTCGGCTAACATGACAATTGATTTCTGGATTTTCAAGTTGTAAACGCATGCGTTTCCTGAGCAGCAAGAAAACTGTTCGAGATGACGTACGCTTGACTAAATTTGGTGACCATAAGCCAGCTTTACAAAAACATGTAGAGGTTGCCGAACTGTTGGAGATGACGTACACTTGACTAAATTTGGTTACCATAAGCCAGCTTTACAAAAACAAGTAGACTCTGCCGTTCGCACTCTATAAAGCCCACAACAAGAGTACATTTGCATAGCTTGCAATGTTTCGCTATGTGTTGATTCCCGTTTTCTGAAATTTCATGGGAAGTAATATATATAAATTCTTAAATTTTAGAATACAAAATATATCTAATTTATAATTTTTTTTGTAGATTTTAGTATTTGCAAATTATATTTTATAAATATTACATAATTCGATATAAAAAGTAATGCAATGCAGATGTCCTAACTTAGAATAACTCCCAGTGGGTGATGGGAAACATACTTCTCACAAAATAACAAAAGTCTCGAAGATCAAATTAATTTTAGGTAATAAGCTAAATGAATTTCTTTTTATAAATCGATCCCAAAAGTATTTTAATATTACTACAAAAAAATGGCCGCCTTTAAAGAGTTGAAGACAGGGCTTAACGTTTAATCTCTTTTTAATCCAAGGGCAAGCACAAATAACAGGTTTTACAAGCTGTACATTAGTTTGCCTTGATCTATTTAGCAATATGAATTGCATAGCTAAGCACCCAGTTTACCAACAAGCGACTTAAGGAAATTAGGAGTACCAACACTTTGGGGGAATTGACACACCATAATATAAAATTTCTCCCAACTGTTGGCTCACAAATAAATTTGTTAATAGTACCAATATACAGGTGAATTGCCATGCAAAGTTTATAATTTTTGTTCCATTTAACTGACATTGTAAATCTATTCATTCTATTTCATTTAATTGCAGTTGTGCATATAAACACAATCCGTATATCCCTAATGTTGTTTATATTTTAAATTGTTATTTCCTGAAATGTGATGATTAATGTCCTTTTCTTTCCTTAGCTTCTTTTATAGATATGTCAGAGTGCTGTTATATGTGTTACTTACACACTTTTGGCTGTGTTCCAGCACTAGCTTCGAATTCAAATGTAATGTAACGACTGCTAGTGCTTTTCTATTTTGGTGAATGTAATTTTTTTCCTTACACTTTCTTTTTGCCATTGCCCATCAGGTGCTTTTCAGCCTGTTGGATCCCACTGATGGAATAAATAAAATAAAATAAAAAATAGAGCTTAGTGCTATATAAAGTGAGGAACACAAAAGGAGGACCACAGCAAGAAAAGAAAATGCATGGTGATTGTAATTCATTAATGAATTTATGTTATTATAAATCATAATAATATTAATCTTTAAGGATTGTATTAAAACAAATACATAACAGAAATATATTAGTGAGTTGCATAAAATTGCTTTGGGGGCTGCAGGTCACCAGTATGAGACCAGTGAAGTAATGACTTGTGAATGATATTAAGTATCATTATTAGAATTTCCTATGCATTTTATGTATCAGTGATTCTTAAACTGCTTTGAGAATGTCTCCCACTCACCCTTTAAAAGAACTAATAGTTTATTATTTAATTTCACATGAAAATATGATATAAGTTTATGATTAAGAGTTACTGAATTAAAAAAAATCAGAAGCACTTTTCCAGATAGTAGAGTAAATGTGTAATAATTGTGAACTTATGTTTTCATTTTTATAATTACAACACAGTTATAAAATCACTTTTATTGACTAAAAAGTTTTTGGTACAGAAAATTCACATATTATGTACAGGAACACTTGTCAGTGGACAATTATTTTGTATACTTTTGACCTATGACTGTTGCTGTTCTTCATCTGTAGAAGAATGCTGGTCAGTAGTAACTGCTTGAATTTGAACTGTTGCTGTTCCCCCTCCAGGTGCCTGTGTGAGGAATACAGGTGTAGCAGTTGTAGCAACTTGTCCAGATGGTTGAGCTACTTGTTGTATCTGATATACAGTCTAAAATTATAACAAAATTTATCAACCAGTTTTTTCAAAAAAAAAAAAAAAAAAAAAAAGTATTTTTACATGTACATGTAATATAAAAAATGTAAAAAGTTATGTGTTTTAAAAAGTAAAAGTTTTTTTTTTTTCTGCAGCTGAATACCATCTTCTAACATGTTCAGCCAGAAATATATTGTTGCAGTTTTTAATGAGTTATTTAATTAAATACTGCTCAAACCATATATGCACCCCTTAATCAACTATTAAATAAAATAAAACAAGTTTTATTGTAAAGCATCCAGCCCTAATTAACAGAAAAGATGCCATTCTACAGCATAGCAATGCAAGACTGCAATCTGAAAAACAGACTTTGGATGGAAGGTATTACCTTACCTATCTAATTTGCCCAACATCACACTGTCTGATTACCACTTATTCAGGTTGTTGCGTCTCTTCTCAACACATTGCCAACCGGTAGCCTATTAATCGGCTTTTTATTGCCAACGTCTACCGACTGATAGCCTATTAATCGGATTTTCATCACCAACGTTTACCGACCGATCGGCTTTTTTTTGGCAACGCCTATCGACCAATAGCCTATTAATCGCTTTTTTCTTGGGGCTACCTAAACATAGCCTATCAATCGGTAGCCATGGCGATAAACAATTGCCAAATGCTATATCATCTGCATTTTATTATTAGTATTGAGGTTCACTGCTCAAAAAAAAAAAAAAAAAAAAAAAAAAAAAAAGGGGGGGGGGGCAGTGCTATATCTTCTGTTCTACTGGGCCGATTGACAAAATTCAACCTGCGTTTTTCATGTCTCGAAAGCGCGACTTAGGATATATATTAGATTTATATATAGCACTATTCTAACATAGGTATTTTGACACAAAATCGGACTTTTTCTGAAATAACATACCAATTTTTTTCCATATTTGATTCTACGACTCAAATTATGCCAGAATACCAAGTTTTGTAAAAATCGTACGAGTAGTTTTTTTAAAATATTAGCTCTCAAAAATTTTAGCTCCTCAATGTTAATTGAATTTGGCAAATATTTATTAAATATCTTTTTTTATTAAACTTTTTTTTATTTTTTCCTTTCACATTTCGAAATTTAGGTTCATTCCAAATAAAATTTACCCATTTTTTGTGTTTACTTTTTAAATTTCTATTTTTAAATAATTTTTATAAATTTTTCGAAAAAAAATTTTGAATTATAACCTATAAAATTTTTACCATCATCTTAAAGTAGGTGTATTTTTAAGCATATCTGCAAAAAATTAGACTTTTTTTATTCAAAATTTTCTAAGATATTCACGAATTTACATATTTTCGCGTTTTGAAATTTGGCATCTTTTTTTTGAGCGATAATAACGCCAAATGTGGTTTATGGATTTTTGTTACAGTGAATTGCCACAGCTATTTTTAACCTTAAATTTCAAGTAAAATTTTACGGAGAATTAATTATATGAAATATTTTCCCTCAATGATGCGTAATAAATATTTATTAATACTATATGAAAAGCTATTTTTTAAATTATAGATGATATTATTCAAATTTTTAACTATTTCTTTAAATTTCTCTATTTCTTCCTTTAAAAAAAAAAAAAAAAATAAGAGTAAATTTTTACCTTCGGCGTTTTATCGTTTGCTACTTTACTTCGTTTAAATCGAATTGTCTAAAACTGAGAATTTTTGTTTGATGTTTATTTGAATTTTATGAAAATATTTTATGACATTAACTGCATAATTTATTTCTAAACAAACTGTTGCTTATGAAGTGGCTTACTATCATCCATATTTTTAAAGCACAGTATATTTTTATAGAAACATAAGATTTAGAATAATCATTTTTATAAAAGTCAAATTATGATATAAACATACAACCCTCTAGAGACTGAATTAATGGAAGTTCAATGGTTATGTAGAAATGATCTGAATATGTAGAATGAAGCTACTTAATGGCTGGATAAGTCAGTAGGTTCTGTGGACAAGTAAGAATAATTATATAAACGACACCCAACATTCTGGATTCAATTAACAACGAGGATACGATGTTTATTAAATGAATTTAAGAAGTTTTTAAAACATAAAAAATCAACTCATTTTTTATCCTAAAATGTATTTTTGTGCGTAGCGTATTTTCATTATATCCTTAAAATTCTAATTTAGAATATAATTGTCAAGAACTGAATCCTAATCATCAGTAATAGAATAAGTAATTATTATGGTTATTAATAAATCCTTCTTATAAAGTAATTGCAAATATTTCAAAAAACTTTCTGTCTGAATGCAAATATTTTTCTATGCAAATATTTTTAATTTTATATTAATCAAGATTGCACACGATATTATTTATTTACACTTCAATTCTTACCGTCAGCTCTAGTAAAAGTTACAAATCAATTCTATTTAATTAAGGAATGCTCATCTAAGTTTAGAAACAGCGTACCGTAACAGCAATTCAATTATTGGCGCCGTTTCTTTCATGTTACTCCTGATTGGCAAGTTACATGATTTTTAATGAGTATTCGGGTTAGTAACTTCACTTGAAATCACGCTTAAACTAGGTTAGTTGGTTATTTGAACATAGAAAGAACATGGGAGTTATTTGATTAAGATGCTTTCATAGAGAACCTTTATAAAAGAGAACCTAGAAAACTACGAAAACCAACCATGCAGCCTGAGTTAGTCTTCGCAACAAACAATTAGTATTTAACAATCTTCAAATGCTAGGCTACTAGTGAGGCTCCAATTAAATCTCCAATTTAATATTTTATTTGTAAATATTTAACATATTGTATTCTTAGACACAAAAAGCAGAATTTAATTTGTAAATAGTAATATTTAAATTTATTTGTAAATATTTAAAATATTGTATTCTTAGACACAAAAAGCAGAATTTAAGTTTTCTTAACTCATTAGTAAACTAGTAACTCGTTAGTAAAGCCGTAGTGCAAATGAATATTCAATTTCTTTTGCAGTGATTGTATTCACTTAATATTCTTGGAATATGAGCTAAAGAAGGAACGTTCTCGGAAGATTAAAGAAGTGTTTAAATCCAGTGCTATTAGGTTTGTCTTACAAGCTCAGGATCAAAACGATTCTGCAATTGCCCGAGTAGTTGACTTGTAAAACTAATGGCTAAATGTGACTAAATGGCTGTGAATTAAGCAGATGACTTTTAATCTTACGTTTTCAGTCAGAAAACGTATTCCAAATGTTTTGTATTGCATGACAATGCATCTTTTCATTATTCAATAACCAGTCGGAGAACCGCTTGTGTTCCGAAAATAAGTATGTGTACTCAATCGTCCTGCATGTTCTTCAAATTTGTCTTCTTGTGATTTTTTTCTTTCCCAAAAACTAAAGTTGCCTCTCAAAGGAAAGTTTTTTGACATTGAAGAGACAAAGGAGTATGACATCTACTTTTAGAGGCATGTCAAAAACAGATCTCTACAAGCCTTCTCTTCCATTACATGTTGTGCAGTCAGACAAAAAGTTGCATCAGCGTAAATTCTATAATCTATTTTTATTACACTCTGATTACTTTATTAACATACAGTGAATATATACTAAATCTTTTACTTCAGCTTAAGTAATTCATAATTTTTGATGGAATTGTTGTCGGAACTAGGACTTAGAAGATAAGTCAAGTTAAATAATTCGATAACCCAATAAATTCATGGTCGAAGTTTCAATATTTTATTTTTGGTTAAAGTGTTAAGAAAGCTTCAAAATTTCTAAGAAGTCAAAAATGGAATTTCCAAATCATCTTTTATTTATCAAAAACCATCTTTATTTTACAGATCTGGAATTGAAAATTTGTCCACTAAGGATGATTATATTACTGACCTAATATGAAAATGCATTATAAAATTATTTGTTTTAATTTGAATGACATTACTTTCTGCCCCCCTTACATTTTTAACATAACTAATGCTTCAACTCTTAAACATTTTGCGAATATTATTGCTGAAGTACAAAGCACAAAATTTGGATGTCTAATATTCAGAATACCAGAGGGGGAAAAAAAAAACCCACCTCTTTCCTACAAAATTTAGGCATGGAGAATACAATACCTAACTAAAACAAGCAGAAGTGTCATAAATGTGATTTTTTTCCTGACTAACTGAGATTCCTACACATCACTTTCAAAATCACTCCAGCTAGTGAATTGCAGGGCGCCCAACAACAAGTTGACATAGTGATGTTGGCCACAATCGCACTTTCAGGCCTTAAATGGCTATGAAGCAATTAGCATTTTTTTCTCTGACCTAAATAATAAGCAAAGTCTCAATGTTGCCATGTCTATATGTTATCTTGCTAGATTTAAATTGATAATCTAAAATATGAAAATTTCCAGAGTCTGGAATTGCTGAAGTCTTAATAATTCTGGATTTCAGTCTTCGTATTATATCATATGCTATACTTAGCACAGAATAGCATCTATAGCAAAGAATACACATAAAGTAGAGGTTTAATACATAGTAGCAGTCAAATATGATGATTAATTGGTATTACAGCTAGCTACTGGAAAACTATGAATAGCCTGTATGTCAAATATGTATTTAATGCAATGCAAGTGAGAAAAACTTTCAACAAAGAATATGCAATCAGAAAAAATTATTACCATAAAATAGAGTACAAAACACATTTTTTCAACAAAATTTTAATATTTTTGAGCGATATAGGCTCTAAAATTAAACACACAATTTTGTTTTATTTTTAAGAGCTAAAACTGGTCAATAACATCTGTAACATATTTTTAACTAAAATTAAGCTATTACTTATTTAATTAATATAAAATTAACAAATAAAAGGCCTCTTGTAATGTGTTATCTTTTAATGTTATTTAATTTAAGTACATAAATAAACTAATGAGCTAATTTTACAAGCCAAAAATGGGGAAAAGTGATCCTGGAAACAGAAAGCCACACAAGCAGAATTCCACTCTACTTAAAACCTAATTTTTTTTTTTTTTAAATAAAATTCTAGGTACTTGTTCCTCCATCTGCAAAGTGTAATACAGTCAAACCTTTCACAGCAACCAGCATTTCTTAAAACATATGAAATACATCTAGACAATACTGCTTATTTGGTTATAAGGTGACAGAAGTTAAAACAGATTTTTTTATATTCAAAATTCAATACAGGCATCCATAGCACTGATGCAATTATCACATGGGACAGAAGTTTTTATACACATCCTTGTCATACATTTATAGCATCCATCCTTGTAAGCAAAGCTTTCTTTACAAAAAAATTGACCATCCTCCACAATACTGCCAGGGTGTATATACAGACATATCTTTTGGAATTTCTGGTGGAAAGATTGTCAGCATTTGATCACATTCCCAACAAGTATCATTGTTTTCACCAAATTATAATAAAAATGCTTTGCTGACCCCCCCCCCAAAGCTTACACAAACAATAACTGCATTTCTCAATGAACTGACAATAACTAGTTCCCAGTATCATAATTGCTTGTTTGGATTAATAGCCCAATATATCTACTTGGAAAAAAAAAAAAAAAAAAAAAAAAAAAAAAAAAAAAAAATTCTTCAATTAACTTTTTTCTTTCCTTTTTTAATAACAAACAGGTACTACTTTTTGGATATGCTGTGCAAAACATCAGTACTAAAAATTTAAGGCAACAGTTAGATGACCCAAACTGTCTTCAATTAGGCATTTTAGACAGGTTTCAGTATACAACACAAAATTTAAACTTCGAAGTTCCAATTAGCTGGAATGATTTATAATCTAGACCACCCACAAAATGATTCAAGAAATTTTCTTTTCCTCAAAAAATGTAAAACAAAGAATCTAGTATTAAAAAAAAAAAAAAAAAAAAACATTTGCTGACCAGTGAAGCACATTTTCGCCTTTGAGTAATTTAGGAGGAGCACACATAATTCTGTAGACAATAAGCAAAACCCAAAAACATATTTATCAAAGTGGAATGAATTTTCTGGTTTCCTTCTATTAGTGCAGCAGGGAAGAAAAAAGAAAGATCTCAATGAACTTAAAAAACTGAGCTAGCATTGAAAACTGCATTCTTCTTTAATAACTTTCTGATCCAGCTTGTTATTTTGTTTGATCTCTTATCAGTGTCTTTTATTCAGCCTGTTACCACAGATAAAATTCGAGGTTACGGTTTGTCTTAAAGAGTTTCTAATTCTGAACCTACTTCAAGGTCTGCAAAAGTGAAATCATGTTTTGATGCCAGTCATTTGAAAAGGTTACTGAAGAATGGCTAAAGGTATATTTGTAGCAAAATTATGCAAGATGTATGGTATTAGAAAGTCAACAATATATAGCATAAAGAAAGAGAAAATGAACTTTTTGCAGATTCTGAAACTTCACTTGTAATGAATAACAGAAAAATCCTTTGCTATGCTAAATGTGACAGTCACAACCAAGTTATGTTTGAATGGGTGAGCTAAATTGCAGTGAGAAAGGACCATTGATAAATCCAGTGTTAATGGCTCACTTTGTCAGGAAATGGAACTAAATACACATGTATTTGATAAATTAGTTAATCTAATATAAAAATCAGAGCCAAAAAACCTTCAGCTGATACCAACGCAACTCAACAAATTATAGATAAATTCATCAAACTTTATAACAGTGAAAAGTTATACATAGAATAAACTTATAATGCTGATGTCAACTTATACCCTACAATATGTAGACACATCTGCTAAACCGCCTGCTATCAAAAATTCCAAAAGCAGGGCTATGGAATTTGGCTTATGCAAATGCTGTAGGAACACACAAAATCAAAACTTTTTGTAGTTTGAAAAAATTCACAATCTCAGACACTTAAAGAAGTAAAGATCTTCCCTCTCATCTGCTGTCCAAATAAACAAGTGTGGATGACACAAGTATTAACGATTGGTTGATTTGAGAATCATTTCATACCCAAAGCTCAGCAAAATTTTAAATCAGCTTACTGACAGCATGATGCAAAAAATTGTCTTGGTTATAGATAACTGTTAGTATTATTGAAGTAAAATATAATGTCTATGCCCTACTTTTTTCTGCAAATGGTACATGCATCATTTAGCCAATGGATACAGCAATTCTACATATCTTGAAATGCAGAGATATAAAGTAGCTTTTTCAAAATCAATGTTCTATTTTCAAAAGGTTACAAATTTTTTAATGGTCTCATTCAAGAATTGATGAAATATTTCAAAATAATATCTGCTGTGTGGAGCACTGCAAGGTCATGGGAGGACATGTCTGTAGATATGCTAAAAAATGCTTAGTGTAATTTATAATGATAGCTGTAAATTCGAGAGTTTTTCAAATATCACAAATGAAAGGCTAAGACATAGTCTTTTAGTTCTGGCTATCCTGCTTAAGATGAGGAATGCTCTTGTGGAGGACTTTCTGAGGGAAATTGGCTTGTGTTCATGTTAACATGTGGAAAACCATTCAGCCAGCCTAAGGCTTGGGAATGAACCCAAGGCAGATTGCACTACCTGTATTCAGCAGTCTTAACCCGTTCAATATGGGCGTGTCATATATGCATTAGCAGCAAACATTATCTCATGGCCGGGTGCGTTATATTTGAATCACCATTTAATTCACTCTATGGCCCGACATACCACATTTGACCTTTTAGATAGAACATTTAATTAGTATTTTTTATTGCGGCTAGATATAGCAGTATGTCTGTTATAGTGAAATATATCGAAAGTTAAGTATGTTTACCTTCATTCTTATGCAATGTTTTTCATTTTTGGTATTTTGTTTTGGAATGAGAGTGAGATTCGTGGGTGGGTGTTGAGCAATGTAATGTCTCTTTAACTGGGGCATTTGATATAAACAAATGCACCTTCCTGGCTGCATTGAGGTACTTTTTATTTTTATTTTTGCGATATACTGGAATAGATGTTCCATCATTAGAGATTTTTTTTTTATTACTCTTAGATTTTTCTGACAGTGAAATGAATATTTTGTATCCTCAGAATGGCAAACAGAACCTAGAATATACACAAATGCTAATTCGTTAGTGTTGAGCGATATAATGACTTTTATTGCATCATTTTATATAAACAAATGAACATGTTCTCAATGCTCTGGAATACTTTTTAATTTAATTTATTAATTTTTCTTATTTTTTTATCCCGTTATAGTGGAGTAGATGTTCTATCATTAGAGACTTTTTTATTTTGAGTTTTCCCGCATTGAGAGGAATATTTTGTAGTGCTTAGCGAATTTTTTTTTATTAATGGCAAGATGAAAGCACTCTCTAACCCTAGGAGAACATACACAAATGGTCAAATTTGCTGAGTAAACTAGCAGCAGATATTCTATTCCTGTGACATATGCAATGTTGGACTTGGACTTTACGTACACCCATGTTTCAAAGAATATCATACACTTTGAAATATTGCTTCTTTTCATTGTTTGCACATTGAATTTTTATGAAAGACAGTTTTAAAATTTTAATTCTGTGTTGTGTTAAATAAAATCTGCGATTGTTTGGATATTTTTCCATATATATTTATTTGTGGGATAAGGGGAAAATTATATTTTTCTAAAATGTGTATTTTATTAAATTTTTAAGGAAAATATAATAATAAAGCTTTAAAATTAATTCTGAAAACTACCTGAATGTTCTTCTCGTAATGCACCAAAAATTGGAACAATTGGATGAAAAATTTAATTTATACGATTTTTTTTTTCTCTAAAGTTAGGCTTAGTAGCGCGAATTGCCCATCCCCACAAGATGATGCATCTGGTTAACGTGCCATTCCAAGACAGCGCTTCAGTAACAGAGATGCCCGTCATGAATGGGTTAACCACTCAGCACTGTTGGGTCCACTCATGTTGAAAGAATTTTTTTTTTTTTTTTTTAAATAAATGTTAACACTAAAGCTTTCTCCTTTCTTTCTTTTTTTTTTTTTGGGGGGGGGGGGTGTAAATTTTGTTTTTTTAAAGTAAGAAATGCTCTTTATTTTACAAACAACCATGCCCTATTTTTAATTTCATTATTTCTGTATGTCATCTTACTATATTTAAACTGATGATCTAAAATTCAGAAGTTTTTGAAATCAGAAAAATCTTATGAAGTAATAATCACCATAATATGAATGGCGAAAAAAATTTAGTTCTGGACCATTTTTCAGATCATGCTAAATGGGAGATGTTCCTTTTTATCCTTAAAAATTAATTATGAACTACAATATATAGATACTACTAACATATTAAAAAAAATCAGGATTTTTAAATAATGCTAAGGCATACAGAAAAATATGCCAAGTTTAGTATTTTAATCATTCCAGGCATTTTTAAACCATTGATATCTATGTAAGAGATGTTAAATAGCAAAACCAACCTGTGCTTGTTGCTGCTGTGTTAGATGTTGGTTAGCTTGTTGAAACACAGTCCCCTGATGGGAAAACAAAATAATAATAAGCATGCAAAGGTATAATTTAAATATGCGGATAATAAATTATATATTAAAGCTAATAAATAGGTTATAAAAGTTTAAAAAATTTTTAAATATTTTGCTTATTCTTCTAAATGAAAATATCCAGGCAAAATTCAATTTTTAGTTTGTCATGCTTTATAAAAGATGCAAAGGCAATACAAAAAGGACAGGGAAAATATCTGCAAAGAAATGTTATACATTAAAATGATTAAAAGTTAAAAATATGGCAGATCTCCTGCCCCTTCTATAAAACAGATATAGAACTACAATGACAAATTTTTCAAGAATTACATTTATTAGTTTGCATGAAAATGCATGCAGTTACAGTTATTTTAGAGAAATAAGCAGATAGAAATAAAATGCCAGAAACTCATCTTGCATTATTAAAATATAAAATTTTTGCTGTTTTTATAAATGAAGTTTACTATGCTTAAAATATGATATTTTCAAACATCTGTGCTCTCCTTGCTTTAAATTTCTTATTATTTAACATAAAAGATATATGATTTAATATATTATTTAAAAAGTATGTATTTATAATTTACAAAAAGTAAACATCATGAAATTAACTGTTGCTTTGTGAATGTAGCATAATTCTCATATCATATCTAAATATTTGAGAACATTGACTTTATATTGTCAGCAATTCAACTTGTTTTGCATGCAAATTTATACTTACCTCATTGTTTTATCACAAATACTATCAGAAATTAGAATAAATTGTTTAGGATTTATACTAACCCTTGATAGTATGCATAGAAGGATTACGATATGTAGTAAGTATTAGGATTCCTATGATTTGCTAACATCAGTCTTACTGTTATTATATAATGTTATTTTAATGGCTGCAATTTGTAAACATATTTCTAATTTTCAATTTGTTTAATTTTCTATCTTTCTCGTCTTACATTTACAAGAATTAAGGCATACCATCTACAGAATTTTAACATTTAAATCACCCGAAATCCACTCAAAAACTTCTTATTTTCAATGTGACAACAGTATGAACTGTATTCAGTTCCAAATTGACTTAATGCTTTCAGTCATTTTGTTGCCATTAAAAAATTTCAAAAATGCCTACAGTGAAAATATACTGAATAGACAGAAATTAATGAGAATAAAACTTATTATAAGCTCTGTGAGATTTATTTGACTCTAAAAACCCACAAAAATTATAACCCTCCAAGCGGCCAAGGATTTTGTCCTGAAACCCTAAAATTCCCCCCAAAGGCCACAAATAGTGCTATTTTTTTATTATAATTTCAAAATGACCCTCTCATTCTGTACCTTGATTCCTTTTCTTCCAATGTACATCTTATATTAATTATTGAGACATAGTCCAAGAATCATGTCTGTGTACTTAAAAGGATAATGACAAATATTTTTGAAAGTAATGTTGCATTTTGGCTTTGCACTTGGTTAAAGAATTCTTGCTTGAAAAGAAAATACATAAGGCATATTTTAGTATCAATCAGAATCAAGCATTGCAATGAGAGAAATATTTATATTTCATAATAATTTATTTAAAAATTTTTTTATAAGTCTCACACAGCAATTTTTGTTTAAAAAATCTAGAACAAGAAATACCACTCATGAATAATGAATGATACTTTGATATTTGAATGATATTTTGATGAATATTAATGAAGCTTAAATTGAAATGATGGTGACAACATATAATTTTATTTCTAAGTTAAATTTTTTTCAGGATAATAATGGCTTAGATATGTTTTGTTAAAACTGACAATAAAGTCTAATTTATTTTAAAATTTTCTAAGATTCCACAAGGAACATTTCATTTTAATACAGCTAAAGTTTATAGTTACTAATAAGTTTTGTATGTTTAATAATTTTTTTTTAAACTGATTGGATTTCTTTTTTTTTTTTTTTTTTTTTCTTCTGATGCATACTGGTCTAGATAATTCATTTGAAATGATAAATTTATTTATAAAATTATAAAGTATTTCATATTTTTTATACATGTCTATTTTTTAAAAATATAATATTAGATATTTTACAGTAGACTGCCAGTCTGATTAAAAAAATAGTCTCTAGTACATAATATATAAATTGTTATTAAATGTCTCAATTGTAATAACTTGCAAAGCAGATATTAACATAAAAATAATTTAAACAAATGCGTTGTTATTAATGGCAGCTTTTTAAAAATAATAATAACAAAGAAAGGAAAGATGCAAATATACTTACAAATGCTAAGGTCACAATGGTAGGGATTAATTACATAATGATAAAACTAATGACTAAAATCATTTCATATGCAGATCAAACTAGATATTTATTTATAAAAGGTTCAAAATTGCTTTACCAAAGGTCTGATATGCCAGTCCTGGTTCTGCAATATGTTAAAAGAGAACAGGCAAACAACTAATTTTTATACTTTGTTTAGAGGTCTTTGAAATTGTTTCAACTCATTATTTAATAATAACAACTTTGGGTGTCTTCGAACTCACCTGGTTAAACTCTTGGGGTTCATGTGAACTAACCCCATTCCATACGTTCTCAGCACTCACCTGAGTTGCAGTCTGTTGAACTTGAGCTGCATTTTGCTGTACAGGTGCAGCATGAATAATGATAGGTTGGTTAGTATTCTGTCCTTGCATCTGCATACGTATCAGTTGTAGTTGATTTTGATTTAACTGGAGCTACACAAAAAGGAAATTATACAGCACCTGCATTACATATATATATATATATATACATATATAAGAATTAAATTAAAAAAATGCTTTTATGTAAACTAAAGCTGATTAAAGACTATATTTACTGGTATTTGCTGTATTTCACCATTGCTGTTCAGAAATTGGTGAACAATTTGGATACCACCAGTTGCTTGATTAACTTGACCTGCCATTGGCTGCTGTAGTTGTAACACTTGCTGTGCTGAATTCTTTAATATAAGTTATAAATTATTATTTATTGAAATACAAATGCACATTTATACATTTTAAAATTATTCTAGAAATATATTTTTCATTCATACAATACAAGTAAGGATGCTTAGGTTGTTCATACCTTAATAACACTTGCATGTGTCAAAAAAGAACCAATGATAAAGTTATTTTATGCGATTAATTTCAATTACGATCATCTGCTCTACATTACTGTGACATATCACATATAATGGTAAAATGAAAACGAAATTTTCTCCCTTTCATTTGGTTACAATTGGTGTATTTATTATAATAAAGTTGGAATACACTTAAATTTGTGGTAAAAATTCTAAAATGCATATTACTGATGTTCATGCATTCAAGATGAATTTGAAAACTAACTGATAAACTTTTGATTCTAATGGTGGGGGGAGCTGGAATAGTAACTTTAACAGTTATAGTTTTTACTTGCTTAAGAAATTCACAAGGGGATGGGATTGAACAAAAGAAATTAAAATATCTTTGATATTGATATAAGAGAACATTTAAAAATATAAATAAAATGCTTATATAACCCCCCCAAACAATAAAGAAACAATGATACTAAGTGATTACATAATAAAGTAATAACATAGCAGCCGTAATATCACTTAAATTATTTAGCTGATGAATTAAATATTTAATCTGTGTTGATCATTGTTTGGTTTCCTTAATTTTCTATTAAATAACAGGAATCAAAGGTGATTCCTGTCATTTAGATCTTAAATTTTTAAAACTATTTTAGTTTTATTTATTTTCTTACTACCATTTGATATGTGTTTAAAATATGGCTTTTCCACACTTCCCTTTCCCCAAGAAAAAAGACCGCAGAATCTTTAAGCTAATGAAGATTTGAAAAAAGAAAGCTCATAATGAAGTATACAGAGATAAGTTTACTCAGAATATTTGATTCATACATTCAGTATTACATCATATCTTTTAGGTTTTGTTTGTTTTAGTTCATTATGGCAAAGCACACCAGGATTATCTGCCTAAGGGAAGAGATACCTTTGTTGAGGACTTTCTGAGGATAACTGGCTTGTTTACATGTCACACATGGGGAAAGCCACGAAAATGCCCATGCAGGTCAGCCTATTCGCCTGGAAGAAAATCCAGGTTGAAACTACCAGTGTTCAGCAAATTTAGTGTTTGACTGCTAGTGGGCCCTCATTTTGTTTAAGAGGTAAGCAGTGTGGAATCTCTGATAGCAAAATGGGATGTTTTATTTATAGTTGTTATGCACAAAAAATAATGTAACATTTCTATGAAAATAATGTAACAGTTATATGGTTGTAAATTTGTAAATGACACACAATAATAAATGCTACTGTTAAGATTCTGATCTTGATAGAACTTTTATATATTTGTCTGGTTTTTTACAGATCTCCCCATATTAATGTCAGGCGAACAGTTATTAGTATTTTTGCAGCATGAAGGCAAGCAAACATTTTCTAATTTCTTCTCATTTTATGGTTTCACAAAAAGTACTTAAGTAAGTAATATTATAGGTAACCTGTTTTCAAATATTATAGAAAAGTCAAAATCAGGACTCAAATTCTACAGGATGTTCTTGAAATATCAGTATTTAGAAATAAAGAAAAAGGAGCCTTGAGCAGACTGGGTAAATTTAATCCAAACTTACAGGAACAAGCCTAAAAGCAATCCTAAGGACAACTCAAGGCTGATCAAACAAACATATCATGAGAAACTGTTTCAAGTGCAGAATAAAAATTAGCACTGTATATGGATTTTTTAATCATTTGGAATTACCATGATAGCAGATCACTTTTGTTGTAAAAGAACTAAGAAAACCTTTCACAGTTGTATTATAGATCAGTAAAATATTGAATTATAGTTGACATAAAGCAAAAAATGAAAAATAAATTTAATGAAATTGATCAAGTTATATCAGATGAAAATAGCAACACACTTTCAGCTTTCATTACTTAAACTATAAAAATGGGAAGAAAATTATGGATTTTACATATTTGTATTCCAATTAGCTAGATATTTTAAATAACTCATTTTCAAAACTTTTAAATACTGACCTGTTGTGCATTTTGCACTTGTACTTGCTGAACTTGAACTTGAGCAGTCTGCGCCGTCTGTTGAGCATTATCAGTAGGTACCTATTAAAAAAAAGGGGGAGACTCTTCTATTAAATATGAAATATTTACATATAAGCATTATAACTTATAAAACTAAATAAATATAAATATCTTATTTCATGCATAAACAGAACTACAGCTGTAACTACTCACTCAACATTAAATACTGTAATTAACAAAATTAAGTATTCTGAAAGAATTAGACAAATAGGCTCAATCTATATAGAACAACTATGAATAAAAAATTGAAAATATTCTAAAAACAGAATTAATTTAGTAGACTTTTTTTCCAAAGAAATTTTATTTGGCTTAAAAAACAAAAAGAATTATGAAATGAACTTAAGTATAAAAGATTCTTTTACCAAAATTATTATTTATTCTTAATTGAAGTAATATAAATTGTCATTTTCAAATGGTATGCTGATGAGAAAGAAACTGCACTTTTTTAAAATTCTATAGCAATTGTTTAAATAAATTTAGAAATGCTTTTATATTTATTTAAATTGATATACAGAAGCAAGACAGATATTAAAATTTTCTGAAACCTAACCCTTCAAATAAGAATAAGAAACTTAATATTAAAATAATTAAATTATTAAAATTAATAATTGATTTATTATGTTTAATTAAATCACAGTTTGAAAGCTGTATTCATGAAAAACAAATTAAAAAATGAAGTTATTAAAATACATTTATAAATTAATATTAAAATTACACTTATAAATATATTTCATTTATATTTATTTAATAAGAAAATACAAATGAAATCTAGTAACTGGATAACATATTAAAATTCTTGAATTCTGAGGTTCATTTTCTCAGCACAACTTGAGGACAAAACAAAAATAAATAAATAAAAATAATTCAACAGAAAGGTCAAAATCTAAAGTTATTTAATATCCTGACATCATGACTACCAGTCAGACAGGGGAAAAATTATCCCCCCTATAAAATCTGGGAATGGAGAATGTCACAAATGGAGAATGTCTAAATAAAAAATAAGTCGGTGTATCATAAACACAATTTTTCTCCTGTCTAATTGAGACTCCTGCATGTTACTTCCCAACAACCCCTAACTATGGAAGTTGCACTGGAGCCTATAGTAATACAGTATAAAGTCTTGAATCCGGACATCCATAGTCTGGAATGATCTATAATCTGGACCTCAAAGCTATAAACTTTCTGTGCATAATACATTTACGCATGCATGCTTAATGTATAATGGACGGTATAAACTACGCTAAAGTTATCTAATTATCTATTTCAGTTCATGTTGCAGATTGCGCTGTTCCTTAATCTTCTAATTGGATCCGGCTTATTATTTTTTGCAGACTGTTAGAGCAATTTTATAAAAAGTAAGCTTGAACTTTCAATTATGTCAAAAAGAGTTTCCAATTCTGGAGCTGCCAAAGGATCTACAAATCGAAAGCATATTTTGATGTCCATTAAACAAAAAGTGGAATAATGGATAAAGGTATGAAGAAAGTGACAGAGAGGTGATTTGTTTCTCAAACCATTCCGAAATCTGTTAATCAATTTCAAGCTGCTCTGCTTGGGGGGGGGGAGGTCGCGACACACAATGAACTGGAAGTTGATCTGTCAGCACTATCCTCATCTTCAAGGCAGATGTTTTTATTTGATTCGGCTTATACGAGGCGTATTCGGAAACTAAGTACCGTTTTGAAAAAAAAAAAAAAAAAAAAAAAAAAAATAGTAGAACAATTTTTTTGAATCCAATTTTATTTTTACATGAAAATACATGTCTTAAACTATTTTTCAACATAGTTTCCACCAATGATCAAACACTTGTCATAGTGGATGACCAGTTTTTGTATACCATCATCAAAGAAACTTCCCGCCAGTTTCGATAACCACGACTCCACAGCATTTTTCAACGTTTGCGATAATTCAAGCGGTCAGACACAATTTTGAACAAAACAGTACGTGAAATTTGTGGAAATGCCTGTAAAAGAGTTGTCATCGTGAAGCGTCTGTTCTCATGAATTGCTTCATCAACTTTCCTTACCAAATCATTGGTGACAACAGAAGGCCGACCACTCCGAGCCTCGGCGTGGACATTTGTTCGACCTGCATTAAACATTCTTACCCACTTTTCAACATTCCATCACTTATTGCGTATTCACCGTAAACTTCTGTCACTTGACGATAAATTTTGGCCGGTTTAACATTCCTCGCATTCAAAAATTTAATCATGGCACGAATCTCACAGTCAGCGAGAGAACTAATTGTCTTAAACATTTTGAATGTGCACAGCAAACTGAAAACACAACATAGAGCAACCAAAATGGCGACAATTGAAAGTCAGTGAGCACTAGTGTGCATGTGCGGGACGCCTAACACTGCGCTGCGACGAGGCTAGAATGAAACAGTACTCAGTTTCCGAATACGCTACGTAATTCCTTACTAAATGTAGTGTTTCATCTCGATGTACTCCAATATGATTTAAATCAATTTCCTCGTCATTATAAATATAACGAGTACACATCAAATAGTTTTCTGGTTGCAATTTTCTAATTTCGACTATGTGTAATGTATGCTTTACGCATCCACGCGTTGAAAGAAATGTTTAATAAAGTAAACAAATGAATATTAAGCTTTTTTTTTTGTAAAATTTGATACCCTTTAGTTCATAATTGCTGTTTATTTCATAAATTACGGTTTCATATTTTTAATTGTATAATTTCTGCATGCCATCTTACCAGATTTAAATTGATGATCTATAATGCAGAAAAACTCCTAATCCAGAATTACTGAAGTCCCGACGAGTCTGGATTAAAGACTTTGTACTGCATACTGATTGATGCTGTATTGATGTGGGCCAGAATTACACTTCAGACCCTTCAGTGGTTGTTGGAGGGGAAGCAGGGTCAGTGCTACGCATTTTGTTGCCCAGTGCATCTCCTAAATTCTGAAAGTTGTGCCATCCCTAAATTTTACTGTTCAGTGCTCCTCTAAATTCTAAAATTTTTGCTGCCCTTAAAATCTGATGCCTGGTACAGCCATATTGCCTGATCTAAGCAATAACTGAAGCCCCAATATGCCTGCATGTCATCTTTCAAGACTTAAACTGCTGATCTGAAATTCAGAAATTCCCTAAATTTAAAAATGACAAAGTGCCAATGGTTTTGGATCTTGGACTTTGTAATGTAAAATCTGAACAATTTTCTTTCTTTCTTTTTTTCTTTTTTTCTACTTTTTTTTTTTTTTTTAAATAAGTGTACAGGTGTAGTGGCCCAAGTATTGCATGAGAAATAATTATTTTTTATTTCATATATTTGTTCATGTGTTTAATTATTTTATAAAATTTAATATTTTGTTAATATTCATATTTATATTTCTTTTATGCTGAATGGCAACAAGTAGTTCATATTTATATTTAAATTTCTTTATGCTGAATGGCAACTAGTTCTGATTCATGATTGCTTGGGTTTTGGTTTCAAAATGTTGCTCATAGCGTCGCATTTCATTAGCTGGAAAATAAAATGCAATAAAACTTAGCTATTTGTTTATAATTCATGCTGTTCCTAATCATAAATTAATTTTAAACATTAGTAGCCAAAGCCACACAGGTGAAAGGATTATTTCAAGTTGGATAAATGCTAAAAATGGCATTACTAAATTCTCTCCAGAAAGTTAAGACAAATAAAAAAGTTTACTTTAAGAGTTCACAAAAGCACTTTTGTAGTAAAGAAACAGAGCGGTCGCTAGGTATGGCAATTTAGACATCGCTGTAATTTTTTTAAATATATTTTTTTTAAGGTATGATTCTACTGCACTTCAGTAAAACTAATCTTTTTAAAGTTAGAATTAAAAAGATTCAAATGACGAAAAAACATGAAGATTTGAGGTTCTCAAGAAATATGAATAAATCGATGAATCCCCAATATTTTTCAAGATTTGTTGAACTTGATGACTGAATTTCACAAGTATAAATAAAAATACTTATTTGATTTTTAAAAAATGATACAATTTTCAGAATAACTTATTTTTACAATTATGGAAAGTTAATGAATGCTTTTGAAATATACATCATACAAAAATGTCCTTTGCTTATAAAATTTTTTTTTTTCTAATTAAATTTATTCAGATATCCTCTCCCATTTTTTTATTTCCTTTTTTCACATTTGTGAGAATGACGAATATGGATTCTGAAAAGTATCGGGAAGTTCAAAATTCCTCTTTATTGGTTGGACATATACTAAGATATAATGGCAGGGGAAGGAGAAAAGTCTATAAATTATTATTTTTTAAATTAAATCTGCAAAATAAAATAAGAAAAATAAAAATAAATTGTAACATTTTCACTAATGGTTACTTTCGTCATTAATGTTAAATTTAGGAACAACTCCAAAGTAATTTTATTTTTCTTATAGTGAAATATACAAATGCTTATTACTTTTATTTGTCTAATCATAACTTTTTTGTGACATTATGAAACACTCTTTGAATTTTTTCTTGGGATAATGCTAAAGCAGTTAACACAATAATATTAGAACCTTCTCATTTTAAAATTATTACTCACAGCTTGAACTTGCAAAACAGATGGAACAGAAAATGTTGGTGAACCTGTCTGAACAGATAAGGCTTGAGTATTTGAAGCAACCTGTTGTACTGCTGCATTTGCTGGTACAAGCTGTATCTGAAAAATATTATTTTCAAAATGAATTATATGTCGTCACTTGGTAGTTGGTAGTAATCAATTTACTCGTAAAGTTAAAAAAAAAAAAAAAAAAAAAAAAAAAAAAAAAAAAAGAGGAAGAAAAAGAAACTGCGTAACTTCAAATATCTGAACTAAACGGGATTACAACCCATTCAGATAAGTGAATCATCTTTTCAATGTAGACCATGCATATATTGACAATGATGCAAGTGAGGGAATTTTACGCTTGTCATTTTTTTTTCAATAAAAATTACATAGTTAAAAAATAAAATACTTTTTTCTGAATGAACAAAATGTAATTACACTTTTTGGATGAAATTAGACAAGATTGTTTTTTTTTTTTTTTTTTTTTTATTATTATTTATTTACAACAATTTATACTTAAATTAAGGTACAAAAATATTAATTTTATTTAAACCTGAACATTTAAACTTCTTTATATTTACTGTACTAAAGCAAAACCATTAAATTATTTTTGCCTTAATTTCAGCATATTAGAGATAAAAGTGATAATTTTATATAAAATTAAACCATGAAATTATTTTTATATAAATAAAATAAAGAATCTATTTCTATATTCAATTAAAATTAAATGGATGTGTTTCATTTTTATGTATAAAATAATACATATTATAATAATTCCCTAACAAATTCATTTAAATTAATTCATAAAAATAATAAAATATTTAAAATGTATAAATAAATTTTGAAAAAGTTTCATTTCATTAGTGTATAGAACATGTGATTTGGAATATTAGAGTCTTACTGCATAAAAAATATATCAAGAGATAAAAATTATTACTCATGTGCATCAAATATAAAACATGCACTATCTACATAATAAAAAATGAATGAACAAATAATATTGTTTCTAGTTGATTATATGTTTTTAAACATACAAAAAAAAAAAAAAAAAAAAAAAAAAAAATTCTACACAAGAAACTCTTGACTGTTACTCCTCAGTAGAAATACGTACCTGAGTCTGGGCTTGTTGTATTTGGGCTTGTTGACCTTGAGCCACTCCTGTAGCTTGCTGCTGCTGGAGAGCAGCTTGATGCTGTTGAGCTAACTGTAAGTAGTATTGTACCTGATCTGGATGCATAGCGGCTGTTCTCACATTGTCTTCTTGGCGTTTAGGGGGTTTTAATTCTTCTCGAGGAACAATGTCAATCAAAAAATCAAACTGATCATATTTTGTAATTGCCATAGCTATGTCATTCCTCTAGAATTTGCAAAACTTCAGTATTAATATTTACAGATCAAAAAGAACACATAAGAAATGCACACGAATAACATTAAGATGCATGTTTAAAGTTAATACATGATTATCAAGATTTTCTTTAAAACTACAAAATTTTAAATTCTCAACACTTAAAAAAAATTAAACCATATGTTGTTCTCCCAATTTCAAAATATATTTCCTCAATCTATTCAAAAACAATGTCATACTCATTTTGTGATTTAGTAATATTAATATTGTTTTACCTGCTGCAGAACATTTCATTTTCCAACTTTTTCATATATAAGGATGGATAATCAAACATAAAAATGTATTTTTAAATAGAATGGAAAACTAAATTTTCCCGATATAAAAATTACATCTGTAATGTAAATCAGAATAGTCACTTTCCATTATAATACCTAAATGCCAAAGTAGCTGAATTTTAAAAGTTTGTTCTAACTTTTTGAACCTTATAAACTTCAGTTTCTTTAAATTACCTTTACGCATGATAGCATCCTTACTAAATATCTTAAGCAAATAAAATTACACAACACATTATAAAATTTTAAAATCATTTTTAGATTATTTCAGTCATATGAACATATTTACATCTACATGGGCATTTTATATTTAAATACACAATTTAGAAAAGAAATTTCTCAATTATAATAAACTATAGTGGCTAGTATATTCAAATTTTCTCCATGCATGCATTTTTACACATTCTTGTAGTAGTGACGTAACTGCTGACTGAAACAATAGCAAAATAATAAAAAAAGAAATTGTGGCGTATAAAAGAATAATTCAGTTACTATTCATATTAATATAATTCATACAAGTTAATATTCATATTAACTTTTTATAAAAATAAGGCAAATAATGAATCATTCCTCTTCAAATCAGTTTGATATTTTTGTCTCTCATAAAATGAAAACTGTGGTATTTAATTTTGTTTTCTATACATAAAAGAGAAATGATAATAATATAAGATATCAGTGAAATACAAACTTTTAAAAAATATAATTACTTTAAACTACCTATGCTATTTAATTTTTCGCGGCACACTATTAACAGGTAGTTGATCTGTCAGCAGTATTCTCTACATACAATGCCTGTATCAGTCTTTATTTTTTCAAGGAATGTAATGGTATTTTCTGAAGCTCTTATTTGTTGCTTTGTTTTGATGAGGTTTCGTTCTTTGAAAGTTATTCGAAAAAAGAAATGGAATTTCCTCTGTAAATATCAGAAGTAAAATTTTCTTTTGCTAGTACATTGAGTTGATTTTAAAGTTTTATCCTGCTCTTCTTGTTCTGACTTTCTCATTATAAAAGAATCCTGCAATAATCATAAATCTCTTATTGAAACTTTCTTTGCATTGATGAAACCACAAGGTTTGTACATTTCTTTCTATTCATTTTCGATAATGAATAGGCCTTTTTTCATTGCAGTCATTTAGGTGAACTCATGCTTCATCAAGGATCACAATGTATTTTCATTTATCTCCTGCTAAATAGTTTTCATACAGGGTTCTACAAACTGTTGAGCCCCATTACGGTTTTAGCTTTTTTAAATGTAAATCTTGGTTTTTATTTTATTTATTTTGTATCAGTGTATTTACTCTTGCTGCTAAAGATTTAACTTTAGAAACAGTATGTATCTTTTTTTTTTTTTTTTTTTTTTTTTTACTATTCATTTAGAGACTTCTTTCCATGTAGGAATAGTGATTGACCTTTTTTTTTTTTTTCCTTTTCTGATTAATAATATTACCTTTATGCATTAAATATCATATTCTTCACACTTAAATCATAAAATTCAGTTCAACAGCAATATCGCAAAATAATTTTAAAATGAGCGTATCTTTAGAATTTCTGATACACAGCCTTGCTTGCTGGACATAATTTTTTTTTTTTCCACACAGTGTTGCCATTACTAGCTTTGAAATTATTAAGTTTTTTAATCAAAAATTCATTTAAGTTTTACAAAATATTAAATAGATAATTCCAAATTTGGGCTTCCAGATACCTATATTCATGTGAAAATGTACGCTATTCAAAATTTGATAGATCTAGGCACCGTCGTTTTATCACAGTGCGAGAAACACACATACATTTATGCAGATTCTTCATCATTTCTTTAAATATAATACAGAGCTGTAATATTTGATGGCAAAAGTTTGAAAAGTGAACCGACATTTAAAGTTTTCAATGCAAAAAGCTAAAATGAAATTAATAGCCCTTCTGGGCTAATGCTCTTTGAGCTAAAAAGATTCAGTTTGGTTTATGTGATTATGGCAAAGCCTCGAGGGCTATCTTCCTAGGGAAAGGGATGCTTTCATAGAGGTCTTTCTAAGGAAAACTAGCTTGTATGCAAGTTACACATGGGGAAAACTATGAAGGCACATGCAGCCAGCCCGTTCGGGTGATTCGAACCTCGAACTGAATTACCAGTGTTCGGCCGCTGGTGGGCCATAGATGAATTCAGGAATGGTCAAAATGGATATTTCCATTGAAATATAATAACTGAAGTTTTTTCTGATCACGATACTTTCTTTAGACTAAAACTAATTGAAATTGATTTTATCTTTTACAGCTTTTTCCAATATTTGATCAATATAGTTATTTGCTTCCCAGTTTTTCTTTTGAATACAGCTTGTGATATGATGAGAGCTTCCCTTGTGCTTTTATTTCTCAAGGGTAATGTTTGCCAGTGCTATATTCCTGTCGACCACATCTCTCATTATTTGAAATTAACCAACATTCGCAATAGTCTTTGTTAAGTGCTTAACAAAGCAAAATTTGTCTCTAAAACGGAGTTATTAATTATTGTATAATGAACAGAAGAAAATGATCTGCTGTCTTGATTTTTGGGGAAATCGGTATCTTTTGTCTACAAAAACCAAAATTTAAAATAAATCCTTTCCTATTTCTTGTAAGAATCAGACAGATAGTTTTCATTTTTTTTTTTTACATCTCTAAAAGTGGTTGGAATATTGTCTGATCTTTAATGACTGTTATGACTGTAGCTGAAATATTTTCTGATAGTTCGCCTTCTTCAGTGATTTCAGTCGAAATATTTTATGGTACATTTTTAATTCTTAAAATTATATTTGAACTGTCTGATGCTGAATTTAAATGTTTGCAAATTTTTCATGGCTGTTCCTGTGAGCTCAAAGTTGATACCTGATATTCTTCTTGACTAGAATTTTCAACTCGGAAATACTGATCAGCAGTTTTGATTTCCGTCACTGCCTATTCAAAAGCATCACATAATTCTTTTGTCTTTTTCCTTTTTGCATCCCATTTGAAGCTTGTTCTTCATGTCATAAGATTTTTTAATGTTCTAGTTTATAAATAAAAAGGCATATAAGTAGAGTAAGTAATTTAATTCATTATTTAATAAATGAAAAAGAAAATGTTAATAGTATCATTCAGTACTTAATGAATATTTAAAACAGTATATTTTGTATTGTTTCTTAAAATCATAAGCAATTTATTTCACATTTTCCTTAACATTCATTTCCAATCTAAACATTTATTTATTCTTAAAATTCCATTACCTATCATCTGTGTGGGCTAAAATTAAGGCAGTCTCAGCAATACAGCAAATTCCTACAAGCGGCCTAATGATTAAGACCACTGAACAGTGGTAGTTCATCCTAGGTATAAAACCTAGAGAATGGTCTAATTGCAAAATTTTTTTTATGTGTAAATAACAGTTACTTTCTTTTAGATAGCATCCTTTCCACTAGGCAGACAGTGCTTTCATACTTTGATATAATCAACTTATGAACAAACAGTACGTCGACTTCACTAGCCTATAAGGAAAACAATATCTAGACTAGAAATCACTGTTTTTATCTTTGCCAGCTTTCAAAAATGCAAATAAAAAATTTAACTGAAATTTAGCATGCCATACATTAGAAGTGAATTAAATTACATTTCATGTTTTTGGTTAAATAAATGCACAAATAATTTTGCTTCGCAAAACAAAATATGATGCTAATGTTCTCCAGAAATGCCTAACTATACTGCACTAAATTTTGCATTGCAGTTTTTAACGTTTGCTAGAAACATTTTAACCTATCAGTTATTGGATTAGAGAACTTTCAGTTAACTTTTAGTTAGAGAACTTTCAGCTGTACTTTCAGTTTGGCTGCGAACCACCTGCAACTAGCTCATGGACCACAGTTTGAGAACGCCTGTAATAGAGTACTGAGACATGCAGACATTTATATACTATTAAACATACAATGAATATTATGAAATTAGTTACAAGATTGGTTTTAATAATAGAGTTTTTGAATATTAGTATTTCTAAAAATGTGTTCTAAATTTTAATAAATGTATTTTTTTGAAAAGTTATTTGTATTGTTTTTATATTTAATCTTTTATTATTATGCTTTTTTCATAAGATATTTTGATGATGAGAAGAAAATAAGCAACCAGTTATATAAAGCTTCATGTAATCTATTATACTATTTTATTATTTTTTATTTTAAATTTTAACATACTTAAACAACAGCAGAAAAAAGAACTCTCTTTCTCTCAGAATTTCTCCTACATGAAACAGTACCACACTTCCTCTTGACAAGATTTTTTTTCCCTTACTAAAAAGTCTAAAGCTGTCATTTTGACAGATTCAATTTAAATCAAGAATGTAATATAGTGAACGTTTCTTTTTAAAAACAATACCTCAATATTTTAAATTTAGCATTAATTTTTTACCAAGAAACATTAACTATAATATATTGAGATATAATAATTTTATAAATTTGTAATAAGTAATGAGACACAAAAAAGACATTATACAATTAGGTTAGGTTAACTGACTAAGGTAAAGCAACTTCAGGGTACCTGCATGTGGGAAAAGATGTCTTCATAAAACGCATTTTAAGGGAAACTGGCTTGTTGTTTTAAGGGGAACTGGCGCAAATATTATCTGCGCAAACAGTTCATGTTGGTGTCTTTAATCATGTTTTTCCAAATGATTTTTGGCATTTGAAAGAAAGAGACTTAATTTAGAGAACTGTATTGCGAAATTTGTAAAAAATGTCATTATCATTAAGTACAAGGTGTCTGAAATGGAACTATCATACTACCAGATTAGGGCCATCATTTACTTCCAGTTCTATTGTAAAATGTCTGATACAGAATATCACTAAATCATGTGTACAGCTTTAGGTACTAATGTTGTATCGTATGACACTGCAAAGGCTTAATACCAAAAATTCAAAAACAAGGACTTGGACATTCAAGAAGCAGAGCATTCTAGCCAGCATACTGATGTTAATGAAGCCCGCCTGCGAGAACTTGTGGTAGAAGATCAGTATACAACCATTCAAGAGCCTGCTAAGGAGTTAGTCATCAGTGCCATGTCTATTAGTCGTGCTATGCATCGCATTAACTTGACATACAAGTTCAATCGATAGGTGCCACATAAGCAGATAAAGACAGGTTTGCACTAATCTGCTTGAATATCAACACAAGAACAAAAATTTGAACCAGACTGTCACTTGTGATAAAAGGTGGATTTACTACAACCACACAGGCTGAAAAAAAAAAAGGGTTGGTCTGTGCCAAGTGGGACCATTGGCAGTGTTAAAGTACAATTTGACTAACAAAAAGATCATGTTTTGTATCTGGTGGGATTGCCATGGTATTATTTGCAAAGAGTATCTGGAAAAAGGTAAAATTCTCGGCAGTAAGGTGTACACAAGATGCTAGACCATGTTGATACTGCTATCAGGGTAAAACATCAGACTGAGTTCCACCACAAAAAGGTAATATTCCATCAAGATAATGATAATCCACATATGTTTGCATTCACCAGCTGGACTCTGTATGGACTCAAATGGGATCTTTTGCCACACACACCATATGGCTCCGACATCGCTTCTTTGGACATCTACCTTTTTTCACACCTGCAGCTACATTTTGGTGATGCTATCTTCCATTCTGTACAAGAAGTCCAAAATGAGGTTGATCTGTTTTTGGACTCGCTGCCATATAGTTTCCAGGCCAAAGGCTTTGAAAAATTACTAAAACATTGGCAGAAAATCATAAATTTAGGTGGTGATTATTATCTGTATTTAAAGGTACTGACTGCTTTTGTGTTTTTTTTTTTCCTAATATTATTAAGAATGTTTTTTGGTGGAAAACTTTCAGTACAACCAGATATATTACACATGGGGAAAACTTAACTGTGCAATTAAGTACTTGAAATCATAATTATGCATAAATAGTGTGGACAAAATAAAATTTATAAATTAAATTAATTTGAAATGAAGCATATACAAATTATACAGTGCTGCCAATAAAAAAATAAAATAAATAAATAAAAAAAGAAAGGCTGCATTTTACTTTTCATTTATCAAGTTCTAATATTTTTGCTTTCAGATACTAAAGTAATTGCAAAGTATGCTTTTAACTGTATTGTCACAAGCTGATCCCTTTGTAAAATATATATGCAGTTCTATCTTTATTATATTTTCAAGTTTGCCATTGTCCACAAAAATTTAATTTTTATTCCCAACTGAAATTTACAGAACAGAGAATGAAAAGCACTTGGTAGTTATATGTTTTCTACAGGAATATAAAATACTTTTTTGGAACTGTGCTTCCTATAGCTTCTTTGTATACAATCCAAATACTGATAGCAGTCAAAGGTAAAATATTATAGAACACATGCATTGTCCATCTGTGCCAAATACTCGTAATGAACTCTTTTGTTTTCCATATTCACTTTGCATACATATTATGCTACCAGATTCCGATAATATATTTTGATGTTGAAAAATGTTGGTTGGCTATTTGTTGTATATGGACCAAAAATAGTTAGGAAATGTCATCAAACTTTACCAGCCTGAGCCCATAAATAAAGTAGTGCTAAAAAGTAATTCTGAAACTGTCATCTATAGTGTTAAATTAGGTATGTTACAAAGATCTTTGGAAAAGAATGCTATGATTCAAAATAACTGGTTTTCTACCGAAATTGTAATTACATTTCTTATTTATTTTAATACAGATTTCTGTTGTAAGCATTGTTAATACAGATACAGGTAGAAGTGGGCAGGACACCAGAAATTCTCCAGTGGTCATACAAATATAGTCCTTCTGCATTAACTGTATAGTTCATTCCAGTTTTGATTGAGAACACCCCCAGGGACCATCCAAAAGTCTCTCACTCCGCTTCCTCAGACAACAACTTCTCGACAGGATTTTGGGCTCACCATATATTTTGAGTGCATCTTTGTTGCACAGACATCATATGCTTACAAACATCTATGCCTTCTCCGGGATATAAACCCAGGCCCATCAGTTTAGCTGTCCGCATGACTAACCATTAACCAGCTGGATGGCAGCATTTTAAATACAGAAAAATTACATGCTCTAATTGAAATGAACACACATCATTGCTAAGTGCAGCTAGATTTAACAGTCAGCTCAGCTATCATTAACTAAAAGTTACTTGGAACTTAATTTTCTTGCTTATTTCAGACACTTGTAAATTATTAGATAATATATGCAAATTAAATAATTATATGCAAATTAAAAAAAGGTTAAAGTATGAATTTTTTTCTTTAGTTTTACTTTTTTTGTGAGAACGACAATTAACTGCAATCTATAGAATGCATATTTTTCCTGACTCTTTTAATACTTCATAGCATTTGTAATTTTATATAATGTCTAAAGTAGGTATAATATAAGTCAGATATTTCATACATTGCCCCAGAATGCCAAGCATTCTATAAATAACCTAAACACACTATAGAATGTTTGCTTTTTATATGTTACCAGTAACATATATATAATTATATGTGACTTACTTGTAAAGTTCGTCTCTTATTATCTTCAGTATGTACCCAGGCTCTAAGAGATAATTCAGTAATGAATATTTCAGCAGCTTTAGCAAATAAAACTGGAGCTTCTGCACTTATCATCTGAAAATATATACTATTTTACAAATTTAATTGATGAGTTAAAGATTGAAAAAAATTATATATTCAGCAGTTAACCCTCTTGCTGCATATCCCACGATTTCCACGGGCAACATAGAAGTAGCAAAATTTGTGCAACCCGCAATTTCCGCGGGGATGCATATTTTTGGTTTATTTAACTGTGCAACCCGCTCTTTTCCCGTTCATGGTTTCATTTTGGCTTTTCTCTGATGTTTAATTATTTATTCAGATTTGGGTTAACAGATGGCATTAGTTGGCCATATTTTTGCAAAATATACAAACACATTTTGCGTGCTCTTTTCAAAGCTCAAAGATGTTTGTTGTTCAACTCTCAATTACATGAGACTAACTGCCGGACATTTTGCTAGATATATATCCCCCAATTCCATCAAGAAAGAAACTTGTTGTGCTGTTTGTTTCTAAAAAAAGAACTGAAACTGGCAAAAAAATTCTCGAAGAAATGCGTATTTGGTGCAAAGATGGTTAGATAGGATGCCTCGAGCCTTGTTTTGAAGTTCATCATATTACACTTCATTTCTAATAAATGTTTTATAAATATTTTTCATATTTTCATTAGTATATACATTTTACCATTACATTTTATAAAATAAATCAAAATTTAACCAAGATTAATTTTCAAAATTTTTCTTTTATATTATTATTCTTCAGTTTAAACTATACTGTTAATTCAGTTTAAACTATACTGTATAATACTATACCGAAAAACTCTTTTACAAAAAATTTTTGTATATTTTAACTCTAAAATATATGTAGATTTGAAATATGTAATTAAAAAATTACGCAATTTTCGAACCTTTTTTGATAAAAAAAATTATGCAGGGTTAAGTACATTTTAATTTAATAATAAGATATATATACATATGAATGTATATGTGCATTTATAACACAAAATTTTAATTCTTTAGCATATTTCCAATTAGAAAATTTTGTTTCTTTAAATATTTCTTATCCTGAGATTGAAGGGAGCCAGGTATGGTTCTAGCATTTTAAGGGATTAGTACAACTGGCATCCTGTATAAATTAAATGCATTAACACAACCAAATTCTGTTAATCTACATATATAGGGACCCATGGTTGTGTGAATTAATGAATCTTATGATTCATGGATTATAACTTTCTTAGTTTTGTGAACTTTTCCTTTCTAATTTTAAAATTAAATCAGTTTTTTTTTCCTGCACATAAATAAACAAATTATATTTTAATTATTGTTTAGTTAGAATGTATTGACTATTATTTTCAATTAAAAATTATTATTTTTTAAATATACTTATTAGTTATGTAAAAAAGAATTGTATACATGCCAGTGAAACTATTTTTTTAAATAAATTTAACACTCTTTCAAATATAAGAGGAAAAAGTAAATAAATAAATATACTATTCATAAAAACATCTGCAGTACAATGTTTCCTAAACTCTGTCCGTATGCTAAATCCACCAATATATTCGCACAAGTGTTGTAGGATTAATAACAATAGCAGTTTATAAGAAATACTAGAATTGGAATATTAGATTTATTAAAAGCAAAATTTCCGTTTTATTATAAACAATTATTATTATGTTTTCAATATTAAATGTCAAATAAATCACTGTAGGGTATATTTTTAAGAATCTCTCCTTATTCACTGTCGATATAAGCAAATTTACATCTGTTACATGAAATGTAAACACATCAGCTTTGAAGTGCATTTAACTTAAAATTCAAGGTCTGAAAAGATGTAGAAAAATAAATTATTCACACATATTAACCAGATAAAATCAAAATTAATATTAAAAGACAATACAGTACAAAGTCTGTAATCTGGACATCCATTATCCAGAATGATCTATAATCCGGACTTATGCCACAAACTTACGCATGCACGTAATGCGTTTACGGCGTCCGCTACGCATGCACGCTTCCGATAGTGAAGAAAGTGACAGATTAAATGAAAATGAAAAAATTTCGATTGATAAGTTAGTCGGCATTCTCAACACAACAATTACAGGACTTGAACAGTGGAACTTTGTAACTGAACAAGAAATTATGTCTGTTTATAGAATTAAAGAGAAAGTGTTAGCACAAAAATTGAAGCAACTTACATTGAAAGAAATGTTTAATAAAGTAAACGAATAAATATTGAGCCTTTTTTTTTGTAAATTTTAATACCCTTTAGATCATAATTGCTCTTTATTTCATAAATTATGGTTTCATATTTTTAATTGTATAATTTTTGCATGCCAACTTACTAGATTTAAATTGATGATCTATAATCCGGAATCGCCGAAGTCTCGACGAGTCCGGGTTACAGACTTTGTACTGTATAATATAAACTCAAATTTATCAAAAACTAAAATTCTGCAAGTGCCTAGTGTAAAAAGAGAGATACACAGAAAATGTTAACTTCTGTAGTGAAATATATTGGCTTCTTTAATAAAAATATATCATTAACATAGCGTATTTTTGTTAAAATATCTTCAGATTAAAAAGAAAGCTAATTTTAAATTCTGAAAATAGAAACTTTGTTTGTTTACATCTAAAAAATGAGCACATATTACAGCCATTTATGAATTAATAGAATTCTACTATAAACAGTGCAAGTAAAAAGATTATTACTGAAATTAGCAAAACCTCTATAATAATATAGTATTTCTTTGATATAGTGGCTACCAAGACTGAATTGCCAATCAACCGAGATACCTCCTCCAAACCTCGCTGCATGTTTTTTTACCTCACCACGTGAATGTATATTAGCACTGGCTGTGTGTTCTTATACCTCACCATGTAATCGTATATTAGCCACATGTTACATTTTTGCTTTTGGTGCATGTTCTTATATTATTAATTTTTGATGAGCTTTTCGAATTCACGTTGTTACTTAAAAATATATTATTTTCTTGTGTGTGTGAATATGACGTTAACAATTTTTAATTTACCAATTAATGAAGTGGATGCCATATCATTTTTTCAAGAAAAAGATCTTTTACCTGACAAACGAGTATGCAAAAATGGCTGCAATGAAACCATATAGAGGTGCAATGTTAAAAATTGCAAAAAGAAGTTGGGCAACATTTTAGAAATTGGTTCAGAGGTTCTAAAATACTGTTTGTCACTGCATTCTTAGGCAGAGAAGTTGACATCCATGAAATGGTGTAATAAACAACTTGATAACATATGAATATGCTACAATTGACTGGAACAATTAGATGCAATAACATAAAATATTATGTTGTTTATTTTTACATTCACACTTCATGAGCTTGGCAGGATTATAGTTGAGATCCTAGCGCAAATCTAAAATCACCAAATACGGTTGGGGGCTGCTATAACAAAAAAGTACCAATAATATTAGGCATGAATATGAAGTTAAATTTATTTCTCAATAGATCTACATTGTATCCCTTATTACTATAAGTCTAGTAAACCTTTCAGATTGATTACTATTACGGAAAAAATAACTTATTTAATAACTAAACTAATAAAAAGGCAATTGAACAAAAAGGATTTCTAATCCAATTTTCTTTTTCATAATCCTCAGAAAAATACATGTTGAAATTATTTATCAATGAAAAAGAATGATTTTTAATGTCAGATGCTAATTCTTCTTATATTTTCAAATTTTTTAAAAGTGGTAAAAAGTTGAAAATATTATTATCCATTGATTATTAGCTTGAGTTTTTTACCATTGCATTTATTTTATGTCTAATGGTAAGCAAATTCACACTTTGTCCTTGTAATCCTAAATTTAATTCATTTAACTTTCCAAAAATATCAGCTAAATATGCTAGACATGCCAATTATAATTCACTAAATAAACATATCTGCAATTCAATTTTGAATCACAGAGGAACATTTCAATTTCTGATTAAAGTTCGAAAAGACGATTTGGATAACTACCTTACTTTGAAATGTAACAAAAATGTTTCATGTTCACTTTGCCATCTCTTGGCAAAAAAATCATAAATATTCTTGAATTTAAAGCTTGGCTTTTAATAAAATTAACAATTTTCATGTCTTGATACGAAATGATTTTCAGGTTTTCGGGAACTGTTTTGGCTACTACAGCTTTATGACAAAAGGAGCAGCAGTAAATTTAGCTTCAGGTGTGACTTTCTCCATTTGAGAAATAACAGCCAAATGTCTTCCTGTTAAAGCTCGAGCTCCGTCACTGCACACGGCAATGCACTTATTCCAAGGAATATCATTCTCAGACATAAAATTGTCAATTACTTTGAAAATATCATTTGCAGTTGCTCTAACATGAAGAGATTCAGAAAATAAATAAAACTTCGGCAATTCCTTTATCTTCTTTGAAACATATGTAAATGAATAAATGAAGAGTTTGTTATATCAGTACCTTCATCTAACTGCCATGCGAAATACTCGATGCGTTTTATTTTTTGAATAAGTGTCTCTTTTAAGGAATTTGAAATTTTATGAATTTGTCGACTTACTATATCATTTGATAAGGGAGCGTTATTAAGTCCATTAACCGCTTTTTTGTTGAGCAATGTTAAAACGATATCTTTAGCTGCTGGTAATATAAGATTTTCTCCAATAGTGTGACCCTGCTCAGTCTTGGCAATTCCTTAAAGTAAACGAATAAATATTATGATTTTTTTTTTGTAAATTTTGACTTACTAGGTAACTAAGTTTTTTCACTTGAACTAACAAAACCTTTCATTACTTGTTTACTATTTTTGAACCAGGGCTGTGGAGGCAGATTTTTGGGTAAAAGGAGTCGGAGCTGGAGTCGCTAAAGATAGATTGACTCCCCATCCAGATTTTGTTGGACAGTTTGAAGTGGAGAGTTTATTGCAGAAGGAATCATTTCTTCAATGATGAAAAGAAAAACTAATTTGCTAGACAATGAGATCTTGGGTTCAATATACGTAGATCCAAAACACCGAAATTTGTTGGATGATGAACAAATTAAGAAGGCAAAGAAAGCCATCTATGAACTTTCAATAAGAATGAAATTAT